CAAGAACCACTTCAAAATAATAGTATTGAATCTTCAATATCTGCAACTAGTATCGAATCTTCAACATTAACAAATGCTACTAGATACCAATATAAAGTACTATTACAAAATAACTCACCTTCATCTCATCGACAATGCTCATGCTTACCTTTATCTCATCAACAACACTTACCTTTAATCCATCAACAACAATGCTTACCTTCATTCTATCAACAACAACACTTATCTTCAATCTATCAACAACAACGCTCATCTTTAATCTATCAACAACAACGCTCATTTTCAATCTATCAATAACAATGCTCATCTTCTATTCATCGACAATGCTCACCTTCAATTAAATCAATTGAACCTAATGACTATATTGAGCATTATCAACAAATTAATATTGAAAAACAACAAGCTCTAAAAGATCATTTTTTTAAACAATCTAATAAACACTCTTATTTTTCATCTGCTTATAATGAAGATAAATCTTCAGAAGATGAATATCTTAACTCTGTGATTTCTAAAGAACCATTACATTCTCTTTTAAATGTGCCAAATGCAAATTATATTGATTCTCAGTAATACTAATAATTTGAAGATTATATGTGAGACAATGATTTTCCCAAAGCTGTCTCTTAGTTAGTTTATTATATCCTTGAATATTATATGTAGTAATATTGAGTTAGAGTATTTGTAATTGACTACGAATAGGAAGGTGTGAGTATATTTTGTAGTTTTCAGTGCTAAGTATTAAATGATTTGGGAGAGTAGAGTCATTAATATTAATATAAATATGTGTTTTAGTTAATGTTTTGTTAACTAAGATTTTAATTTGATTTGTAAATTTGTGTTAAGCTAAGTAGTTTGGATATTGGTTAAGGTTTGTGGAGTGTAAAGAGTTAGTAGATTTTAATATCATAGAAATTTGTTATAATATATTACTTCAGTATGAAGAGATGTATTAAAGACTGAAGTTTGTTGAAAGTCTTCTGTAAAAAGATGCTCACCATATACCTAGCTCTCACAGTTATGAAGAGGTCTAAAGCCTGCTTTGTTCATTAAGACTGACTGGTAAGTATAGTTCTCTGTGTAGCTAACAAATATATTAATATAATATATAATAATAACTTACTAAATATAATATTCAAATAGTATTTAAAATATAATAGCTTGAAAGTTTAAAAACCTAATTAATTGTATTAAAGACAAGTTTCTAATTATTTAATAACTTGTTTAACAAATTTATTCTAAAAGCTTTTAGTTTTGCAAAATATAGCTTTGTAAATATTTTATCTAAATTTTTAATTAATTAAGATAAAACAACTCTTCCCTGTAGATTATTTTACCAAATTTTTTTTTTTTTTTTTTTTTTTAATTAAAGGCAGCTTACTTTGCTGAGCAGATTTTATTAGTTAATATATGAGGTCGTCTGTTGACAATCTCCTACAGTTTGTAATTACATAAAGAGTGTACAACTTGCTACATATACAACTTTAGTTATTGTCTAATTTAAGTAGTCTGCCATACAGATAGATTATTTGTTTAGTTCTATACAAGCTACCATATCTGTAACCCGCTTGTGAGTTATCTATTTAAACACTCTGTTTACCTAACCAATACTGGAATCAACTAATATTACTATAACACCTAACTGCTTAAGCCAGCTAGCTCGTTGCAGATCCATTTACCTAACTCAGCTTAGGTCCTCTCAGGATGCATATTGCTCAACATATTGTGGCACGCAGATCTTCAGTTAATCTCATAAGCAATTCTACTAGAGTAGTCTGTACTCATTTTATGAATTCACCTAGCTTAGACCTTTGCAGATGTTCATACAACTCCAGTTCCTATCGTGGCTCTCCACCAGTTTTCTGTGTCTATCTTCTTGGATGTTTCATGAGGCAGATCCTCCCAATTCAGTTAGCCATCAAGCTAGTTTGTATTACTGATCCTCTCTGTGGAATAGATTTATGCGCACCTGACTCGATCGGCATCTTTTGATGATAGTTTCTTTTCTGGATCAAGCGTTAGCTGGTATGACCATTAAAAGCTGTACTACTTCACCTACTCGGGATTTCTACTATGCAGGTCCCCTGCCCATAGATTCTATCAAGATTTATTCATGTAATATTACGCGCTCCGAACATTCTGTTACACTTCCAATATCTGAATGATATTAGTACAACATGATTTACAGGGTTACAATCCTAGAAACAGACAGGGTTTACCGTAAGTTGGATACAAAGGTCTAAGTAATTATTCAAATTCGTCGACAGTAGAATTTGAACCCCAGACCTCTTACATAGCAGTCTGGCAACCTAACCACTACACTAAGATCACCAGACCTTTAATAGATAATCATTATTAATTTCCTTAAATTCAATAAATAATATATAAAATAATTAAAGCAACTAAGTAAAAAAAATCCTACTTAGTGCTAGTCCGCTACCATAACTCATCAGCAGATTAACTGTCAACTAGCAGGTATTGAACTTATGACCACTAGCCTCATAGTTACAAATCCAAATCACTTTGCTAAAGCAAGCAAATAATAAAAATTTTATATACATTCCTTAAGAATGTCCAAATTTGTTGACAAGTAGCTAATAAAAATAAAGAATTGCACGTGTTTGAAATTAAGATTTGATTAATTTAAGGAGAAAATTTAAAGTATGTTAACTTTAAATTAAAAAAAAATTAAAGTTTTTGCCAACAAAGATGACAAAAAAATACAGAGACCAACACAGGAGAGAGAGGTCACCATATAGAAATAAATATGAGAAGAAGTAAAAAATAATAATAATAATAATAAAGATATAAATAAAAATAAAATATATGAAAATAAATAAAAAAAAAAAATATAAATATATAGAGTTAAGAAGAAAAGGAAGGAGAAGGAAGAAAGTATATTGATAGAGAAAAAGTTCAGAGAAAAGGAGAAAGAAATTGTAGAGTTGAAACAAAGAGTGAGGATTTAGAAGAAAGAGAAAAGTGGAAAGTTGAAGAAGAAAGGTTTAGAAAAGGAAAGAAGAAAGAAGTTTTGTTGAGTAAAGTGAAAGATTATAAGAGGATATGAGAAGAAGCAGAAGAAGAAAAGTTAAGATATGAAGAAGTTGCAAAAGAAAAAGAAGTAGAAGAAGTTTTTATGATGATGGAAGAGTATAGAAAGGAGTTGGAGAAGAAAGAAAGACAGTTAGAATATGTCGATGTGAAGTTTAAAGGAAGTAAAGAGTTTTATGAGGAAGAGTTAAAGATGTTGCAGGAGAGTAATAGTAAGTTGGAGAGAGAATTTAAGAAGTTTAAAGAAGGTGCGAACAAAGAGTTGAAAGGTTATAGAGAGTTTTTAGCGAAGTATAATGTTGAAGATGTTTTTGAGAAAATAGTTGAATATAAAAAAAAGTTTGAGAAAAAGGAAGGGGAATATAATCAGATATATCAATATTATAATAATTTAATGGTATTTAGAGGAGGTAAGGAGAAGGAGTTGAATAAGAGAATAGATAAATTAGAAGAAGAAAAGGAAGGTTTAGAGGAGGAAATTTGTAAGATGAAGTTGGGATTTTAAAATTAAAATTATAATAAAGGAAATTGTTTGAAAAATAAAAATAAAGTTTTAAAAGTGTTTGAAAAAAAATAAATCTGTTTTTAAAATTATTTAAAAATTGTTTGAAGAAAAATAAATAAAGCTGAGTCTAAAATTGTTTTAAAATTCGATGTATTTTTATCAGGTTTCAAAAATTTTCACCGAAAATTCTAAGTTTTAAAAATTATGATAAACTAAAAATTGAAATAAAAATTGAAATTAAAGTATTTCTAATTGAGTAAAGGAAATACTTAAAGTATGTAAAAAGTATTAAAATAAGATTACTATTGCTCGAATGAATAGTAATATCGAATAAAATAAAAGAATAAAAAGATAGCAGATGTTGTAACTTAAGGAATACCACTAAAACTTGTCAGTTAGGATTGTCTCATCCTAAGCTAGAATTGAACTCTTGACCTAGGGATCGACTAGGTATACACGTCCAAACTATTATCTCACAACTGCTTAATGTCTAAAATTTTCTACAGACCCTTTTTAGGTAGCAAGAATTTGCTAACAATTGTCCAATAAAATAATTTAAATTTGGTCATGTAAAATTAAAATTTAAAGATATATAAGGTTTAAAGATAAGATCGATAAAAATTAAACTAACAAAAAAATAAATTTTTAAAAGTTTAAAATAATAATAATAATATTAATAAACAAAATGACTCGAAGCTTCAACTATAATTAAAGAAGAACTTCTGCTAGGCATAACCTAAGAGGTGGCTCTATTAATCCTCTTTTCGAAGCTTTGGACATAGTCCAAATAGAGAACAAAAGGTATTTATCGATAATATATTATTTTAGCAATAATAATATATTTTTAAAGTCTTGGTTTAAAATTTATTTAGGTTAGTTCAAGAAGTGAATAGTTTACATCATCGAGTTCATGCTTTAGAAGAAAGAGTAGAAGAGCAACAGGAGATAATTGTTGAGAACGTTTCAAGGAGTTGAATGAGAGATACGAAGTATGAGAGGTTGTTGAGAGAAAGGAATAGGTTGCAGACTTGGGTGTTAAATTTAGAAGAGGAGGTTAGAAGAAGAAAAGAAAATAATAATGATAATAATAATAATAGTGAAAGTAGTGGAAGTAGGGAAAGGATAGTAGGGTTTGGGTTTTTTAGAGAAAAATAAATATAAATAAAAATTTAAGAAAATAAATATAAATAAAATTTTGTTATTGAAATAAATTCTGAGTCTAAGTATTTTAAATATTAAATTATTAAATAAAGTGGTAAATAAAATAAAAATAAAAATAAAGAATAAATGAATTTAGATCCTATAATTTTATAGTGGGCCGGGAAATAAAGACCTTTTATAAATTATAATATGCAGTAAAAACTTTGAATCCTAAGACTTTTCTGTTTTATGCATAAGCAAG